TTCGCTCGTTGATTTTTAAAAATACATTGGAACGCGCGTGTGGCGTGCGCTGAGTGGTGGCTGCAAAAATAACAACAACGAAAAAACAATCACAATAAAAGGCAAAAAGTATCTACGGTGAAACGAGGAGAAAAGTAAATTCGATGTGTCTTTTAAATAAATATACTGCAGCTGCATAAATATAAATGACGTGACAAGTTAGACCGCGTTCGCCTGCGCGCCCTCATTTCGGCTACGCTGTGTGGCTCCTCTTTCGCAACGCGTGCATTGCGCTGCGCGCTGCGTTCAAACTAAATATACCTACGTTTTTTTTTGTTGTATTTGGTGCATTTTTTGCCGGCATGCACTAGGCCGCTGTGCGCCAATAAGCGAATGAGTTTTTAATTTGTTAAGTTCTACCGGCAGCATAGCTAAGGGATCGACTGGTGCGTTGAGAGACTGAAAGGTACGCGCGGTAAAGAACGCAACGAGAATTGGGCCCATACGAAAAAATAAAAAATAAAATAAAAAGTGTGCGCACGTATTGCAAGTGTTGCATTTTGGTGTGCTTTCGTGTGTGCGCGTTTGAGTGCAAATCTGTTCGCGCGCTGGATTGGTGCAAGTGCAATGCACTGACTGAGTGTCTGCAGGAAAGCGCGCTGGCTCTGGCGGTGGCAGCAACATTTGTAGCTTGCAATTCGAAAAGCATTTATTTCTATTATTTGAGACCCTTAAGTGCCTTTCGATTGATTGCGGTTAGTTGCGGCAGAATGCAAAAATAAAGAAATTGAAAATCACACACAAAAAGTAATCATTAGCAAGCGCGCGTTGCAAACGAGTTCGAGTAGTGTGCAGAACTATTGTCGAGTGGCGACAGCGCCCTGCCGCCAGATACACGACACTCATCAATTGGGGCGCGCACAAGTGATTGAACGGTAGTGGCCCAGCGCGAACTCGTCGAAGGCAACGCCAATGCACAGCGATGCAATAAAAAATGTAATTAATAATTGATTGAAGTGTGACAGCTAACGCGCTTCATGCAACCAGTTCTATATAGCAAAAAAATTAAGCAGAGAAATCGCATAATCTGAGACAAAAATCACGAAATAAATTTAAAAAATATATATACAAGTGCAAACGAAAAATTAATGTGTGACAATAAAAGAAGATTCAGCACAGAAATTGACATTTATTAAGTGCGCTTATCTCCGCAATTGGCGCGGTTGTTTTCCATTATGCGAAATCACTCGCAATTGCCATCGCGTTCGCACGCCAATAAAAGTTTCAAAGAGCACTGAAGTGCAAAAAGCCGATGCGCCGAGTTAAATTAGCTAACAATAACTGCCAAGTTAAAATAGCAAAAAAATAATAAAAATAAAAAAATCATACATAAAGTATTATAATCTTTTTGCATTAAGCAGACAAGTGCTGAGTAAATTGCGAAATAAACGAGTAGACGCAATAAATATATAAAAAAAAAGAAATATAAAATAGCGCAACGGGTGGTGTGAAAAGGTTTTGCAGAGTTCACGGCTGGCTTTTGTGCCAAATACGAAATCATGTCTTCCTACCGCAGTAGTTATGTAAGTAAAAGCAATTATCTACAGAGAAAACGTGTATAAGTATATAGTATATATAAATACAAAATGCTAGGTGTAAATTTGAGTTGGCGTCTAACGGTTGTTTAGATGTTTTTAATTGTCAGCTGAAAGAATGTTTAAACGTTTGAATCGAGATCACCATTTTGCTGACGGCAATGCATCGAGGACGTCATTGGACGTCATTGCTTTAGCTTTTGTTGAAAGAAACTACTTTTTCTTCGCACTTCCAAAGGCAATCGTAAGAAGTCATTTTTATCTAAATATATGTACACTGAACTTTTTCTACGATTTCGTCGGGACAGACAATTGAAATAAGTTTCAGTGTAAATCAAATTTTAAGCTTTAAGAAAAAGTCAAGTAAGGTGCTGTTCCTAATAAATAAGTAAGTATATAGAATTTGTATTTGCTTAATTCCGAAGTACCATACAGTGAAACCGCTGTGGCACTTTTCCGCTCAGATATATTACCAGGTGCAGTAACCCACGTTTACTTACTTCCCGCTTCATTGCTTAACTCTCAGCATTATTTTGGAGTTTGGTTTGGTGGAGAGCCGTGGCGTCTATCCTACGCTTTTGCTTCGGAAGAAAAAGTGATGGAAATGCTTCGAAGACTTAATTTTTTGCGAGGGCTTAAATTGGAGTGTGGCATAAAGGCGGTGACTATTTTAACTGATCTCCAAATATAAAAATCCATTCCAACACCAGATTCAGCCAGCGCTTTTAAAGCAGAAATCTTTGCTATTACGAGAGGCGTTCAAAACACTGTTAGTCTTAAAATAAACCAGGACAAGCAGTGCCATTTTCTCGCATAGCCAGGCGACCATTAAGGCACTCGCATCGCCGCGGTACAGTTTCAAACCTAGCCAGGAACGGGTGGGCTCTGAATATTCCAGGGTTTTAACAGATTTAACTGATATTAACCCACTGAGACTCATTGGGTTCTTAAATTTCACGTGGACAACTATAGCTTATGGCCCGAAAAGTTCCAAAACAAGATATTATAAAAACCGGTAAGCTTCCGTCTGTTATTTTTTTTCTTTATTTATTTTGAGTATTAACATATCGAAGCTAGTGAGGTTCATGGGTGAGAATGATTTTTTTTTTTTGAAGGCTAATGTTTAGGTTAAGCCTCTATTAAAGTCATAAGGCTTACCTTCCTCCCTCAGGAAAGTGGTTTAGGACTCGTAACCTTCCTTTTTTTGTTGCCACTATCCCACAGGTATTCAAAAAAACGTTTTCTAAAATCTGTCTTTTAATCATACCTACTGAGCGTTTTACTTTTGATTAGCACAAAAATCATTTCCACACCGCCTTATTTCACCACTGTTTGTATGTATGTATGTATATTAGTGCACATAAATTTTAACACATAATTATTACCTGCAACAGTTTATGAAGCCAACTTAAAATTTATGAATTTTTTTCTTCTATTAACTCGAATTATACGCTTACATACATATGTATGTATGTTTGCTTTCTTTGAGTTTGTTTGGTCTTTCCTATACATACAATTCCAAGACTTTCATTAGCTGTTTGCTTTTCGTTTGCGATTTGCTTCCTGTCCATTAATTTTCTTATCCAAATAGTTAAGTTCGAATCTCTTTTCAAATAGCTCAACATGTTGCCGCATTGCCGTGGCTATTGTTTGCTTTATGCATCTATAAATACGCATACATACGTACATATTCATTGTTCAGTTCGCGTCACGGCAGGTATTCTGGTATTCTAAAATCTGAATATTTCGATCTATGCTTTGTTAATGGCACAAATTTCTAGCTGAAATTTTCTGAAAAGCACACTTGTTTTTTTTTTTGTTGTTTTAAGAAAATTTGTTTTTGCGTAAACATTTTTTGTGTATTTTTGTATGTATTGGAGTTGTGTTTCATCAAGTGTGTGTGTGTGTGACTATCGAAATCACCCACTTAATTTCTGTGATTTTTTTTTCGCTTTGGTCATCTCTCAGTTTTTTTTTATTTTCAACAAAACAATTTACTTGTACCATTTTTTGGGGTTTTGCTTGGCTTAGATTTTCTTTTAGTTATTTGTATTGCTACATTTCGCTATTCTTAAATGAAAGTCAATATATATTGAGCTTTTTATGCTTCGCATTTGTTTATTTGTTGAAGATTTATTTACGTTTTGCGTTGACTTTAATTGATAAAATCAAGGTTCTGCCTGTTTGGTGGAGGTCTGATTATCTCAGATGTTTCGAAAGATAGAGATTTAGTAGAAGTAAATATTTGTTTGAAGGCTACACTATTCGCCATTAAATCTACATAAAAGTACCAGATGTTTGAAAACAAGTGCGATTTTTCGTATTGGGTGTATGCATATTAGGGTGATCCAAAATAAGTAAAATCGGAATTTTAATGCTCTCACCCCCTAGGATTGTTCTATATCGATGAAAGTATACCCCTTTTATTGTTTTTTGGAATCAAAAAACATTTCGAAGTCGCTCAAAGCACTCAAAGTATTCCATGTATTTGATATGGGAAGTAAGCAACTTTTCGTATAATGGTATGGTTTAGAATTCTCGAAAATCAATATATTTCGATCGGAAAACTGTGTTCTCTTCAGGAGACTTCCAATAACAATGTCCAATTGTTTATTTAACCATTTTTTAATGCAATTCCTGGAATTTTCTAGGGGTTTTGGCGGACCTATAAAATATAGTTACTATGGAAATATGGTTAAAAAATAATTGTATATTATTGTTGGAGGTCTTCTGAATTGATTTTCAAGAATTCTACACCATTTCTCCGAAAAGTGTTTTTTCCCTATATAAAATACATGGAAAACTTTGAGCGGTTTGAACGCATTGTAAATATTTTTTGATTTCAAAATAAAAAATAGGGGCATATTTTGTTCGGTATAGAGCAATCCTATGGGGTGAGAGCATACAAATTCTGACTTTACTTTTTTTTACGTGCATTTTTGGACCACCCTAAGTTACATATCAAAAGATGAATGGTAATAATTTTCCTTGGTACAGAACTCACTATATGGCTATTTGCTACTTTAAAAATTAAATTTAGTTTCGTGAGCTGCTAGAACAGCCGCTTTTTGAAATCATCACAAGCACCTTGTGTGAAATCTAACTTCTATTACGTCGCCACCGCGTATGAGTGACCTCAGACGCTAGTTAGACATTGTTAAAAAAGCTGTAATGTGGTCTGCGCTTGAAAGGCTGGAAACAATTTGTTCGCTGTCAGATTGAAAGCAGCATTCATCAAAATGTAATTTTTGATAAAATATACAAAATCATCATACGGCCTTCTAAGTAAAGGCACTGCCTATCAGCTGTTTGTCATAAAATGTCTGCAGCTGAGATCACTTGTTTTTTTTTATCATTTCCTTTTATCTATTACGATTTCTTCCAAATACACCAATACATTGAACAAAAGAAGAAGAGTTACATTACAATAGACCCACTTGGTCGCGGTGCATAATCTTCAGATATCTATCTGTCTACGTTACTTAAGGAACTGTACGATGTGCAAAATATCTTAATAGAATTTGTGCTTGCGTTCGTGTCTGGTTTTCTTTTCCATCTCTTTAATGTTATTGTCATTTTATTGCTTAAGCTGCGATTTGGAAGAAAATCGATTCACCTGTTCCCGTAAATAAATGTTACATAATAAAAATCAGTTGAATACAGTTATATGTATGTAGGTTCCCCCAAAACGAAAAAATTTCAAATTTAAAGTTTAATATTATACATAGAATATTCCATGCAGACAAATAAAAATTCTAAAAACTGGGCTCGATAAATAGTATTTTCTAAACAAATATTATTAGCTTTCGTTAAGGAAAAATATTAATAAAATTGGTTGAGAAATGAAGGCCCTGTACTCACTGTGCGTCGCCAGAGCGTAGCCCTTATCTAAGCTGCACACGAGATGCCATTTTGTTACAATTCCTATTCTCATATGTCTTTTCAGCAGCTCCCCTCTCCTCCCAGGCGTGCGCCTAGATGTTATCACACAACGAGGAGGGACTTTAAGGTTTTGCGCCGACTCCGAACGGCGATTGTATTTTTATGAGCAGCTGTTTTTCATGCAACCGCTGTTAAGTAAAATACCCTTTTTCTATATTTTTTGCGATGTTGCTTTGACCAGGGCTTGAACCTAGGCCCGGCGGAGTGGAAGCGTGCACTGCTTACCACCACAGTGGCCGAACTCCATGCCACCTTATAATCTTTGACCGTTTTGGAGCCACTTCCTCACCACTCATATCTGAAAAGATACATACCCGTTTTACCCTTTCGCAGTTTTTCTTCAAATATATCTGTTGTATACCTGATACTTCTACTACCGTGAGCATCTATAGGAAAAGCTTTAGTTTAATTCCTCAGTCCAGTGATCTAAAAAATAATACCCAAAATTTTCGCCTGCTGAGTTTTCTTAGTAAAGAGAAGGGGTGCTAAAAATATGCAAAGTCACATTATTTGAGCCAATTTCTGCCAGATTTGGCCGATTTCGCCTTGAAGCTCTTACTTCCTATGGCGTATAAAAAATCGGGGGAGCCACCTGGGTCCAGAGTTTGTCAGAAATGAAAATTTAACGTAACGATTTTCCGTATTGCTTTGCAGATTTAAATCCAAGCTTCCTGTTCCACAAACATTTGGCCCAGTGATTCTATTGCCCAACGCCTGTGCAATATTTTTTACAAAAACAGCAAATGCACTGCAGTAGGCGTCAAATTAATAATTCGCTTGTGGCGCATTTTAATTTCCCACCCCATCCATTATTCAATTCAACTCATTACAAGTGTAGAATTTGCACAAACTTTTCACATTTCACTGCTAATAAAATAAACATTAATTGCTGGCTTAATAAATGCACACAATAACAACTATAAAAACACAAAATGATGACAACAAAGACAGCAAAAACCAACAAAGGAATTGAACGATCTTATTATTGCTTTAATGGTTGGCAATTTTCCTGGTTTTCAGTTTATTGGCGACTGATGATACAACAA